AACGTGTGAGAGGGAGCCTTAAAATGTTTAATATATTAATATATTCACCCTTCATACATAATTACAGTTCCCATGACCACTTCAAGTCCAAAGAGTGCACGAGAATGTGTCCGCTAACATCTAACATAATTGTTTGCTAATCTGTGATGTGGTTTTTTTTTGCAGTGGGAGTATCACCCAATGCTTGTGTGTGCATTTAGTGAGCTGGCAAACCGATGGAACATCAAAGGGGGAGCAGTGGGGGACTATTAAACACATATACACCCTCACAAACATGAGCACAGCAGTGCACTGCTGCAGGGGTTTCTATTGCATCAGAGGAGACGAGACTCCCCCGACTCCCCGGGAGGAAGGGGGGGCGATAACCAATCCCAAATCAGCTGCGGACCAGCAACAAATAGGGGGAGATCGGGGGAGAAAAAAAGCCAGCATGTGTGTTTGTCACGAGTTAAACAGACGAGGGAAGTGAGTGAGCTGCTGCTATACATGACGAAGGCTGATTTTATATCCAGAACCTGGTCACAATCATCATAACGCGCATTATACTTAAAGCAATGCTCTTACTACTGTGTCAGTGTTCAAGGATGAAGCTTGTGATTTTCTTCACTTGTCTTCACAAAAATCTAAGTGAAATCCCTGAATGCTTCCTGAGTCTCAGCCTCAGGCCCATTAGTGGCTATAAAAAGATAAAGAAATCACAAATATACAGTTTCATCTTTTACAAAATGCTCTGCAATTTCCTACAACAGCTGGTAGTTTTTCTGTCACTCAAACAGGAGGAAATGGTGTATCTGTTGGGGACTATTTTTAGCTGTGGATTAATACACATTTTGCTCGCTGCAAGCTGCTTTTTAATCAGTTTTGAAAGCCTACTCGTAAAAAAAAAAAAACTATTGTTTTTGTGCTTTTCTGCAGTGGTCGACTCAAATGGCTTATACATTGGTTTATACTGTAGATTTTAGTCAGTCGGGACCTCCACTAGGGGTCGCTAAAGCTTCATGGGAGGTCATGAGGCCTTCTTGATTTTAAGGAGTGTACGAAAAATTAAAAAATATACACAGTAGGCTTAAATCTCTGCAGTTCGTCTAATTCTGTGAAGAAAATTTAATTGAATTGTTTGCTTAGATAGAATGTCGGATTAAAACACAGTAGACGTATATTTGTATTAAAAGTTCCTAAAGCCATCAGAAAACTCACCTCTCACTATTTGGGTTTATTCTACAGTTTATCAGTTGTTCTGTGCTGATAATATCCACAAATAATGTCATTTAGTCAGGGGTCGTCAGTTTAGTCAATGATAGAAAAGGGTCCCTTAAGGAGTCCCTTGTTTTATGGCACAGATGCAAACACAATACTAGAAGGACCAGTTTATTGTTGACATTGCTTTTCATGTTATTTGTTGACAATAAGACAAATGCAGCCTTATCCTTAAATACTTTAATATTATATACTGTATAAAAATATCCATAAAACATTTGTATTTCATTTAATTCCAAGGAGTTTCTATTGTTCCATTTCAGAGAATCCTTCAGCGGAGTTTATATGTGCAGGATCAGCAAGAGGTATGCAAAGTAGTAACTTTATGGTTAAGATGCTGTAAGGTGCAGTAAGCGCTTAGGTCAGCATAAGCACAACAGCACAGTCTCCCTCAGGCTACTCTGAAGTGAGGGTCAAAAGGGTTTGTTCAACGATCATAATGTACTGAGGTCTGAGGTGGAACTAATAACGCATTATAGCCTTGTTCCTCTGCATTAGCGTGTCGAGCAGAGAGGGAAACACTGACATTTGAATTTTAGGTTGAAATCACACACGTGTGTTTGGTTTCTCTTGAAATGTTTGCATGTGTTATATTTTGTCGGTTTGGGGATTTAAAGGGTTGACTCTTTAACTCTTTTTCTACCTTTTTCCCAATATAATGGAGGCAAATTAATAAACAATTTGTCAACTTAATTATTGTAATATTGGACAACATATTGAATTAAATAGCCAGTTTTTACACTTTTGACATGAACTGTATTTAATTGAATTATGTAATGTAATATTTATATTTTAGGACACAATATGAGGACTAACAGTAAATAAACAAATACTGAAGAGTTCATATTAGTTGTATAGTTCCTGGTTGTTAAATGTTTTCTATATAACTATGTTGTTTCTAGAGCAGCAAAGTCACTGTAAAAACTCAATAATATTTCACTGTAAACAAATCTAAAATGTCAATAAAATCAATCAGATTGCTGACATCAAAACACTGAGTGAAGTTTAGAGAATCAGTATCAGTCAATCCTCCTCTGATGTGACTCAGGAGGGGCTGGTTGGTCTCAGCCAGCAGATCAGTTTAATACAGGAGACTGACAGATTTTAAGACAAGTGGCAAAATAAGATAAAAAATATTGAGAAACGTTCATTATTTTGAGAGAGTTTCTCATTTATAATAATAATTATAATGACTTTGTACCCCACTAGGGGTCACCAAAGCTTCATGTGGGGTCGCAAAGCCTTCTTGATATTAAGTGGTGTAAGAAAACTTAAAGTATCTTTAAATGGCTTCAATTTTGACAATTCGCAATTAGCCGAGATAGCACGCTGTCTTTGTCTAAAACGAGGCAAGGTTGATGGGAGGAAGTAGACGAATCTCTACAGGTTTACATGTTGATGCTTGTTGTATTGATAAATCTTGAATGGTGAAATCATATATTTGCTGTCGCTTATTGAATTGTACTGGAATACCAACCTGTTGCATTTCCTGCTAATCTGCGCCTGATTATTTAAAGGCACTTACTATTGGATGGCAATTCAGCTCAGAATACTAAATATAAATATTCCTGGAATATATTTTTGTTGTTTGGTTAAATAAAAACTTCAGCAGCAACATTTCTCTTCCAGGAACATCGTCTCAATTACTCCGGATGATCCACAGAACAGACTGTCAACCATTTTATTTCCCACGGAATCTCAGAAGAACCTCGGCGTATTAATCCAACCCTCTCTGCATGGCGAGAGACCGATAATGGTACGTTTTTAAATTGGGTGAACTGACCCTTTCACATAATCACATAAACTCAGAAGCTCATTATAACCACACAGAACTACAATCACACAGCAAACGTAGGTTCTTCCAAATAAACTCACTGTTAATAAACCGCACTGCAGCTTCCTCGGAACCGGCTGAGCCCACTTGCAGTTTTTGTCCGGTTAATAAGTTTGCATTAAATTTAAATAGAATTGTTCTCACAAGCTCAAGTAGCACAACTGCAGGAGCAAACACCCTGGACTTTGATTAATCTGGTCCAAAGTTGCCCGATGCAAACTCACTCACTTTCGCATTATTATTTTCACATAATGGGGAGTCAAGTTACCCAGTTTGGCAACTCAAAACCAGTTGGTAGAGCTTCAGCCGCAGCTGCCAGCTAATAAGAGCGATAGCATGAAGCTGGCAGTGACTGATGACCACTAATGGCTCCCTTTTTCAGATTAACTTCACATTTCACACTATTTACATCCCAACCTTGCCAGTGCTTCGTTGAAATTCTGACTCCGACTGAAAATGAGGTTTCATTTTGATGGTGGAATTCAATGTGGGCACATTTTCAGAGGCAAACGAGTGGTGCAGAAATCCTGGAGGCAAACCATGTGTTTGTAGCAGCGTGGGTTTAAATTTGGCTCATGATTTTACTTCATGCCAGCTAATCCCATCGCTCATATTTTCTGTCACTAGGTAAAGTAAACGGTGTAATACAGTACAGATTACATTAATGTTACCTTAAGAAATAAGAGGGCACGGATAATCTTTCACCACTGACACACAGAGCACTTTCACAGCTGCCTCCATTACTACACTTGGGACTGCTCAGAAGCTCTCCTGCAGCTAATCAAATAATAACCCAGGTGTAACCGGCCCGAGGGTTGGAGGCAGTCAAACTTGCAAGTGAGGCACATTAAGTGCAACTTTACACCTATATGCTGTGCTGGATGTGTTATTAAAAAAAAAGGCTGCACAGCAAGGGGGGGGGCACGAATCAATGATGGCGCTCCACGGAAAGTCTGAATTCATCCTGAGGAGGATCTCAAAAATTTCATGCCAATCAATCCAAAAATTTCACAATTGTCAACATCACATTTGCACGTTGTAAAGTATGCACAGAGTATTTCTCATTTGTGATTCTGTTCTTTGTTGTTGTTCAATTCCTCTTCGTGTTTTTTAAGCTGCACCACAATTTCAATCCAGCAGATTTGAGATATTTCACAGTAGGGTGAAATGAACAAAATCAAATATCAAAATATTTTTTATATTGCGACAATATCATAAGGATCCTTACTGCTGCTTTCACAAAATATTTGCCCATTTTGTGTCAATTCATTATCTGACATCATGTTCATGTTAGCCAATATCAGTTTGTGTGTTATTTTATTTTGTAGTAGTGACACAGCAGTGAGCAGTTAACTAAATATTTGACCCCAAAAAAATCTGAGAATATCTGCAAATCAACCGGGACTGATCTCATCCGTGCTCGCCGTCATTTTTGTGGCCATTTTTCTGTCACTGTTGTCTGGTCCTGGCACAGGAAGAGGACATTCCCATTCTAAATCCCGCCTCCAAAGCTCTGTTTGTTGTTGGGTTTTTTTTTACAACCGAGGACACAGCAGTCAATGAGCACAAACACCAGAATCAGTGTAAACATCACAGGTGTGGGCAGCCATCCACAGGTCTGGAAATAGGCTCTGAATAATGCCTTTACAGACTCATTCTGGAAGCAGGAGCAGGAACCTAAGCTCCAACCAGCTCCATTTCTAGTCAAGACTTCTGTTCACTTGCTGAGAAATGCAGTACAAGACAGAGTTAAACACAAAAGCGTGTGCCAACATGTGACCAACATTAAATGCAATGGAGGAAAGGCAAGCAGGCATGCAAAGACACAATGGAAAGTTATCCTATTAGAGACAAATCCACACTGAGGGACAGATTTACGCTGAAACACAAACACAATATTGGCACTGACCTTGAAGCTCCAGTAGTTTGGTTGTTGCTAGGGGTGAGGCAGGGGGGGAGAAAAACAAAGAGCAAAGGAGACAGAAAAGGGACAGGGAGGAGAAAAGAGGGGGGGAAAGGATAGTGTGTGAGACATTTTCTCATGTGTTGAGCTGCAAAAAACACAAAGCTACAAAAGATCAAGCAAAGGAACGGCTGGATTGAACCAGAACTGAGAGAAAATGCTTCGTCACTCAGTTCCCATGTGGAGATATGCAGAAGTGATACCACAAAGTGTGACTAACAAGGTTTAAAAAGGTTTAACGGGACATTATTCTTACGCAGCGAGTGCCCCAAAATGTCTATACCACTTTAAAACAACCACAAACTGGTGTAAAACTTAAGCAAACAAACCGACAAATGGCTTTTTTTTTTTTTTTTTTTTGTACATTAGGCTTGGTGAGAAAATGATGGGCTAATTATTGTGATGATAGCCAGATTAACTTACGTTGTCCTTCACTGCCATCATAATAGGACTTTAATTGCTTGTAATTGCTTCTCAGCAATTAATCAAATGTTTACAGTGACTTCACACACACTAATGATGTAGGCCCAGGCAGCTCCTAAATTCTAGCCCTCACTCTCCCTGGTTGCAGAGTTGGCTGGCGCGAGCCCAGCAGCAGGATTAAAGCAATGCACCGATACTGGATTAAGAAGCTGCAATTTTCACTTTATCTGGGAGGAAGCCAACGTCCGGGTCAACGTACTCCTGATTCTTTGAGATACAGCAGCTGAGGCTGTATGTGTGCTCATCCGTGACATTTAGTTTATGCCCAATTATTAATATCCTCATCTGCGCTAGTGTACACTTTATGGCCAAAAGTATGTGGACGAACTCTCTCCACGTATTTGTATACTTCAGTTCCAGGACTATTGTTCATGGTTTGGTTGGTTGACCCTTCCTAAGCCCCGCCCCCTCCTTTCCTGTACTTAGATATGCTACGTGCTAGGCTAATCTGGCATTTTTCTGACATTATCAAGCTCAAGATGTTAAGATATGTACGTTGCTATTAACATACAGTAAATGAGCGTAGCACATATCTACACGCAAGAAAGGAGAAAGCTTGCTCAACAGTCATTGGAGCACAGAGGGGAAAAGGGGCGGGGCTCAGGTTTATCACACAGAGACGCACTGCTAACACGGTGCCTGCAAAACCATTGTCTTCCTATGGTACGGTGTGCCTGGTGTGCGCAGTTTTCTAGCAGATTTTAGACGTGGATAAAAGATAATCAATGGCACAATTGGCCCTGACAGCCAATCACATCAAGTAAGAGGCACACTTTACTTCTTTACCACTTTCTTCCTGTTTTACTATGATGGTAAACAGGTGACAGATGCTTCAGCCGATCATCTGCCAAGTATTTTCTGAAAGTGCCTGCCCTTTTCCAAACAGCTACCAGTGACGATTCCCAGTCGGTTCTGTCTTTGGACAACAATGGAGCTTCATGCCACAGAGGAGGAAGATATATCTGACTATGATGCACCATTGTTCGAAGGATCAATACACGGTTGGTTTTGGTCTTTCACCTAGAACACAAAATATCACCAGACTTATTTCTTAACACTTACAAATGAACACTACAAGCTAAACAGAGGAGCAGTGTTTATTCAGTGGAAAGCCTCCACTGAGATTGATTGAGCTTCTCCTTTTTTAGATTGCGACCAGAATTCTTTTTCATAAATGTTTCACTTAATTATGTAGTTATCTGCATCAATTATCAATTATCTGCTCATAAATTTTTGTGTTTTGAAGATATCGGCCACACAGTGAAGCCCTTTTGACACATTCCCTTAATTCCAGAAACTATCAATTATGGACGATAGCTGGCTAATCAGCAGGGGAGAGTAATGCTTCTGATCAGTCAGTTCTTAATGCTACAACATCCAGTTACTGTTCCAATGCCTCGAGCACAAAGACAGATTCATAAAGACATTTATTTTTATCTGTTTGTTTGGAAGAACTTGACATCTCTGACATCCAACACCTTTGGGACGAACCGGACCACCGACTTATCACCTTAAACATCATCATTGGAGCTCGCTGATGCTCTCGTGTCTGAATGGGAACGAATACACGCAGCCAGGTTCAAAAAGTTGTCCCACAAGATGGACGTCCGCCTGCTTTTGACCGTCTAAACTTTGCTGCATTTGTCGGGTTCCCATTTGTGATGACTGGTATGCAACCTTCTCAAGAGTCTGACATTTTCTGCTGAATGAAAGGTATCTTGTGTAAACCTTAATACACTGGAACTATTTCCTGAACTATTTCCACAGCATTGAAAACTGATCCAAACACAAGGTCTTTGCATTCCTCAGTTAAGAGGATCTTTAAAGTCCTGACACCAATGAGAGAGAAAAGGGTGTGAAAAAGACAGAACAAATGGCTGTCCTCGAAGAGAAATAACATTGTGTGGCTCATACAAGTTGTACAAGGCTGTTTCACTCTACAATAACTCACATATTTAGCTTAGTTTAATTTCCTCAGCCAAGAAGGTAATTATATTGTCCAATGTGTTTGTTATTTAGCAGAACAACTCAAAAACCTGGGAACACTCTAATTATCCTTTTCTGGAAGACCTAAAAAGTTATAGTGATAGTTATAGTATGCATTATAAAAAGACAGTGAAAATGTAGTTGGCCACGGTTTTACTTCGAGTACAACGCTAGCGTCAGCACTCTAACAAAGGTAATGCTAACACGCTGATTCTCCGCAAGTAGAATGTTTGTCATGTTCAACATCTTAGCTTAGCTTGTTAGCCAAAACATTTTGACCTGATAGAGGTGCTAGATTAAAAGTAAAGAGATGAGTTAATTTGTAATTCATCCTGAAGGCAACATTCATTATTCTTTATGGTAAATCCATCCAATAGTTGTTGAGATATTTCCCACTGGACAAAAGTGCGACCAGCTGACTGACCGACATTGCATGCTGCTAGCGGCTAGCGTGGCTAAAACAATCTTTCTATTATTACAACAACACGTTTGGAGAATTGTGAAAGTGTAGTAGAGATATGTGACGTCTGACTGTTCAACAGTTTATTTTACAAATGAAGTAAAGCTTGAGATTCAGTCTGGTTTCCATTGTGGTTCTTGTTTGAGCAGCAAGAAGAGAATTAATACTCTGATTCTGCAGTTAAAGGTTCTTTATAAACACTCATTACTGCAACGTCCAGCACTAACTTCATCTTCTCCTTCAAGAGCTGCAAAGTTAAAATACAAAAGTTGCTTGATAAAGCGACCAATGAAAATACAGTATGAATGTATTAAAGTTCTCTGCCTCACACGTGACGGCACAGAATTAGCTCCTGTGTGAGGTTGGGATGTTTGGATCCAGTGTTTGTGCCAAGATGTGCGCCTGTACACATATTACTGTTTGACCCCAAATGTTTCTCTACATTTAAGTCATGGTTGATCTGGGACTTTGACTATTGGTGTGAACACAACCTGCAGATTTCCCTACAGTGTTTGGATAAATGCTGGCCTCAGTTAGGGGTTCTGTCAATGAATGATGTATAGACCTCATCACAGCCAATTAGACTTGCAGAGTCGGGTGTCACATTTTACACATAATGAAAAATAAGGGAACAAACAACAAAGCACCACCGTGGGCTTATCGGAGGGGTTTCAGACAATGTTGCACCAGAGAATTGAGAAGTATCATCCCTTCGTGACAGATGAATTAAAGGAGACAGAGTTTACGTTCTCCAGCTACATTTGATTGTAGGGGACAACCAAGTGTGAACCCACTGTCACCGATTGGTTGATTGAGTTCGGCGTTGTGGTCGTCACCATGTTGCAGCCAGTTGCGTTGACGTACTGCGAGTTGAGCTGCGCTTAGTTTTGACCAATGACAGTCTGTGAAGTGAAACCAACATTGAAGTGTATTAAACTTAAAGCTCCACTGGCTGCAATAAAAACCAATACCATTCAGTCTTACAGAGAAATGAGCCGACTTCTCTCTTGATGTATGAGCTCAGTAAACAGTTTCCTGATGAGTTTCTGGTCTCTGGTCTCTCTAGTTTCAAGCCTTGATGTTCATTTACTATATTTTTATGAGAAATGTTAAAAGTTAAGTTACTTAATATTAACTTAATAACTAGCAATGGTGGCTCGTCACACACAATCTCTTATTCCAGATAAACAGTAAAATCTGTTTGTGAACAGATTTGAGGAGAGAAATAGTCAACAACATAATCTGGATCCATATCTGATCAGCACTGTTTGACAGTTTGATCTGAGTTTGGTGCGTTGAGCTGGATGGACTCACTGAGAATGAGCTGTCAATCACAAGGTAGCCCCGCCCTAAAGCATACCCTGCTTTATGGTCTGTTTTACTCTAAATGGGACCATCAGTTACTAAATGAACATCATGCTGTATGGAAGAAGACTGAAACTAGAGACTGAGACCAGAAACTCATCAGGAAATTGTTTACTGAGCTCATCAATCAACTGAGATGTTGGCTCATTTCTCTGTAAGACTGAATGGTAATGGTTTTTATTGCAGCCAATGGAGCTGCCCCCTGCTGGCCATTAGAAAGAATGCACGTTTAAGACACTTCAGTGTTGGCTTCACTACACAGACCCAGAGGCTCTGTCCATTATATATACTGTCAGTACAACTACAGACGACATTATTACAAAGAAACCTCTGACACCGACTCATCTCATCTCTTTCATAAGGAATAATTCAACTCTGATTCTTTCTATGGAAAGCTTCAGCCAAACGTCACAGACACTTCTTTTATGGCAGATAAAAGTATTTATTATTATGAAACTCAAAATGTTGAAAGAATACACGTCTTCTAACCGCTTCCAGCTTAATCACCTCTCAGCACTTCCAAATATATTCACAGTGGGTTGCGTTTAATATTTGCAAGCTACCTTTTCACTCCCAGCACCTCTTTGGTTGCCATGTGTAGAAGCACAGACGTCTAAAAATCCACAAATAACTGTCACAACAAACCATTTGCTACAATTTAACAGCGTCAGTGCATTAA